ATCCTTGAATCCTAAATTGAATAATTGAATCCTAAAATTGAATCAATGAGTCCTTAATTGAATCATTGAATGCTAAGATTGAACTATTGAATCCTAAGATTCAACCATCAAATCCTGGGTTAAATTATTGAATCCTATGATTGAATCGTTGAATAATAGATTGGGTCATTGAATCCTAAGTTTAAATCATTGATTCCTAAGATTGAATAATTGAATCTCATGATTAAACCATTGAATCCTAAGATTCAAACAATGAATCCTAAACAGGATCATTGAATCCTAGATTGAATAATTGAATCTTGAGATTGAATCGTTGAATCCTAAGATTGAATAATTGAATTTTAGGATTGAATCATTGAATCCTGAGCGTGAATCATTGAATCGTAGATTGAATAATTGAATCCTAAGATTGAATAATTGAGTCATGAGATTGAATTATTAAATCCTAAAATTGAGTCATTGACTCCAGAGATTAAATCATTAAATACTAGACTGAATCATTGAGTCCTAAGATTTAATAATTAATTCCTAAGATTTAATCATTGAATCCTGAGATTGAATCAATGAATCCTAGATTGGATTATCGAATCCGATATTGAATCATTGAATCCTATGATTGAATCAATGAGGTCTTGATTGAATTATTGAATCCTAAGATTGAATCATTGAATCCTAAGAGTGAATCATTGAATCCTAAGATTAAATCATTAAATCCTAGTATTAAATCATTGAATCATTGAATACTAGATTGGATTATTGAATTCTAAGATTCAATAATTGAATTCTAAGATTGAATTGTTGAATCCTAGATTGGATCATTGAATCCTAGATTGAACCATTGAATCCTAAGATTGGATCATTTAATTAATCCTATGATTGAATAATTGTATCCTAGAATGGATCATTAAATCCTAGTTTGAATAATTCAATCCTAGGATTGAATCATTAAATCCTAGGATTAAATAATTGAATCCTAGGATTGAATCTTTGAATCCTAGATTGGATCATTGGATGCTAATATTGAATTATTGAATCGTAAGAATGAATTATTGAATCCTAGATTAAATAATTGAATCCTAGATTGAATAATTGAATCCTAAGTTTGAATCGTTGAATCCTAGATTGAATCGTAAGATTAAATTTTTTAATCCAATTTTAAATCATTGAATCCTAACATTGACTCATTGAATCCTAAGATTGAATAATTGAATCCCAGATTGAATCATTGAATCCTAAGAGTGAATCATTGAATCCTAAGATTAAATCATTAAATCCTAGTATTAAATCATTGAATCATTGAATACTAGATTGGATTATTGAATTCTAAGATTCAATAATTGAATTCTAAGATTGAATTGTTGAATTTTGAATAATTTAATCCTAATATTGAATCGTTGAATCCTAGATTGAATCATTGAATCCTAAGATTGAATAATTGAATCGTATGATTGAATCATCGAATCCTAACAATGAATTTTTAAATCCTAGATTGAAGCATTGAATCGTAGGATTAAATCTTTAAATTGTAAGATTGAATTCTGAATCGTATATTGAATCATTGAATCCTAAGGTTGAACCATTGAATCCTAGATTGAATCATTGAATGCTTGTTTGAATCAATGAATCTTAAGGTTGAATCGTTAAATCCTAGATTGAATCATTGATCCTTAAGACTGAATCATTGAATCATAAGACTGAATTATTGAGAATCCTAACATTGACTCATTGAATCCTAAGATTGAATAATTGAATCCCAGATTGAATAATTGAATCCTAGATTGAATCATTGAATGCTAGTTTGAATAATTTAATCCTAATATTGAATCGTTGAATCCTAGATTGAATCATTGAATCCTAAGATTGAATAATTGAATCGAACATTCCTAGTATGGATCATTAAATCCTAGTTTGAATAATTCAATCCTAGGATTGAATCATTAAATCCTAGGATTGAATCTTTGAATCCTAGATTGGATCATTGGATGCTAATATTGAATTATTGAATCGTAAGAATGAATTATTGAATCCTAGATTAAATAATTGAATCCTAGATTGAATAATTGAATCCTAAGTTTGAATCGTTGAATCCTAGATTGAATCGTAAGATTGAATTTTTTAATCCAATTTTAAATCATTGAGTTGAATCGTTAAATCCTAGATTGAATCATTGATCCTTAAGACTGAATCATTGAATCATAAGACTGAATTTTTAAGTCCTAAATTGAATCATTGAATCCTAAGATTGAATCATTGAATCTAAATATTGAATTATTGAATCCTAAGATTGAATCATTGAATCCTAAGATTGAATCATTGAATCTAAATATTGAATTATTGAATCCTAAGATTGAATCATTGAAGCCTAGATTGAATAATTTAATACTAGATGGAATCATTGAATCCTAGATTGAATTATCCAATCATGAGATTGATTGAATCCTAACATGAATTTTTAAATCCTAGATTGAAGCATTGAATCGTAGGATTAAATCTTTAAATTGTAAGATTGAATTCTGAATCGTATATTGAATCATTGAATCCTAAGGTTGAACCATTGAATCCTAGATTGAATCATTGAATGCTTGTTTGAATCAATGAATCTTAAGGTTGAATCGTTAAATCCTAGATTGAATCATTGATCCTTAAGACTGAATCATTGAAAATCATTGATCCTAACATTGACTCATTGAATCCTAAGATTGAATAATTGAATCCCAGATTGAATAATTGAATCCTAAGATTGAATCATTGAATGCTAGTTTGAATAATTTAATCCTAATATTGAATCGTTGAATCCTAGATTGAATCATTGAATCCTAAGATTGAATAATTGAATCATAGATTGAATCAATTAGGATTCAAACATTTTAATGGAATTCGGCTCCGAGCTATCTAGTGTGGCTCCGAATGACTACGAGCCTATCGAGCTTGGCTCCAAGCTATTTAGAGTTGCTCCTAGCCTACGAAACTATGCTCCGAACAGTATCTTAGAATATCATGCAATATCTTATGGCATCATATAGTATATTAGATTGTAAACATCTCAAACAAATGTCGATATATATTAGAAGCATAACTTTCTTACTTAACGAAGAAATAAATGCTAATTAAATCTAATTCTTGTGCAAGTTTATGCCCGCAAAGCCACGCGTCCGATTTAAGTAATCCCTATCTATCCATAACAAACATGTAAGAGATTAAATTTTAGCTTGTAATCCTTCAACGGACCGTTCACGGCTTTGGTAGCACACCTTTTCGATGTCAAGAAACAAGATTCTGATATATCTTACAAAACTCACAATGCAACCTCGTTCCCAGAGCTTTCGTATGAGGACGAGGGGAGAGACGAGAAAGGCCTGGTCTGGGCCGGTCAGTTTTACATTCTGATTGGCTAACACCATATTGTCTAAAAATAACTGAACTTGACAGTTGACAATAACAATTCAACATTTGTATTTTTTTTATTCTTGTGTGTTCGAGTATGTTCTGCAGAATAATCTTTCAAAGTAAGACGTTCAGTTCCCGACTGCATGATTTACTTTCGCCTCGGCCAGTTACAAAACTCAAAAGGCAAAAGCCGTGTCGACGTGAGCTGAGACGTGAGGCTGACAAAACAAGAAATGTCTACTATTATTTAAGCTGTATTTTTCCTTGTACAGCATTTATAATGTAGTGTGAGATGTCTGATGAAATACTACGCGTATTGCATTGTAGTAATATTTTAATTTACAATATTCTATACTGACAAATAAAAGCAAGACGAACAATTAAATGAAACTACTAAATTAATTTAGGCCCTGTTTAGTGTTTACTTAATTAATAGCTCTACGCCTAGGCCGATGTAGTCTCTACAAGATTCGTCACGTCACGAGTTTTACAGTTTCAGAATACCCCGAATACTTGAAAATTGCGATTATACGATAAAATGAAAAAAAAATTGTGAAGGGGATAAATTTTGTTGGCAAGCATTGCTCCTGAACGGCAAGTGTTGGTGTCCAGCGAAACAAGCGAATCCGTATATTCCTAGTGTACAGCGTAAACTGGTTACGCGAGGTTTTATATTTGTACGTGTTTATTTATATCGAACTAAGTCAGATCTATAAGAGCATATTTAAACTAAATATCAAAGGCAATAGCCATATTGTTCAAGACCAGAGAAAGCAAATTTCGTGTGAATCACCACTTGCATGGAGACGTATAGATGCAGTTAGGATGCAGCTGTGGCTGTGGTTGAAAATCTCCAGAAATATCGGTATATCTTAGAAAACAATGGCGGGGTCTTCAGAGATTTCTGCTGATTCGTGCCAAATTTCGCTACACATAAATAGCATCGAAAGAGAAGTCTTTTGGCTGTTTATTTGTTTCGAAGACTTGTATATTTCATTAAAGAATATCTCGCCACTCCTTGACGAGTAGCTGTCAAATACTGCCATTTTTGGGTAGTCACGTGACCGGTCCAGACCAGGACTTCTTCGTCTCTCCCCACGTCCTCACACTGAAGCCCTGGGAACGAGGTTGCTCACAACGTATACTAACAAAAACGAAAATATGTTCCGTTGTATTTCGCTTGCTCAAATAAAACATTGTGTACAGCTATTTCAATTAAGGTTATCCCCGAGCAATGCAGAAAGGTCGAATACGAGCGCGAAAGGCTTGCTGCAAATTGCTAGAAAGTTAATGAACAGGGACAACCTTAATTGAAATAGCTGTATATCCACATGGGGTGGGCGGATTAGTAATTTTTAATGACTCTGTAATATGAAAATATCGACCTTAACAAGGACGTTTACAACCATGTTAACTTGGCAACTGCTAAGTTCTTTTTAAAAATTGTCTCGATTTTTATTTCTGCTTGGAAATGTATTACTCAAAACAGTTCCTTTAACCTTGGTATCTTAATCTAATCCGCAAAGCCACGTACCCAATTCTCAGGGCTACGTTACCACGATTCCCGCTGGTGTCCCCCCCCCCCCATCAAAAAGAACGGCTGCTTTTTTAAATCTTGCGAGATGGGTTCGTACCAACAACCTGAGGAACTACGGTCCTCCACTCTACCAACTGAGCTATCGCAAGTGGGTTTTTAATCACGAGATAAAACCTTCAAAATACCTGTGGAAATCCAAGCGAAGCTACGACTAAGAATTTTTTTCTTCTATACAATAAATTTCAATAAAAAAAATTTGTCATGTGAGGGACTCGAACCCTCTTATTTTGGACAAACCTCAATGCCATACCATTCGGCCACCAGGGCTTTACAGTTTACTTGACATAAAAAAACAAATAAATTATGCTCACGTGACTTATGGTAACTTTACTCTATTGTGATGTAAATCGGTAACACGACTTGGTAACGCAATCAAATGTGGCGTATGGTAACGTCACCGAGTTATGTGACAGGTAACGCGACTTGGTAATGCAACGCTAATATTACGTTGTTGTCGGAATCCTTTGTACTCCAGGGTGGGGTCTATCACTACAGACAGGTACTACAATATTTACAGTTCTTTATGTACCCCACCCCCACAAGACTTCAAAAAGCAAGTACTCTCCCCCCATAGGACAAGATGCACTTTACATGCCCCCCCCCCTCAATTTTGCCACCCAACCCTATGGTGTAAATAATAAACGGTCCCTCAAAATCTTTTAAAATTTCAAACTGAAGAAAAATAGAAACCTAAAATGCGGAAGAGGCAACTTCTGTGTTTAACTAAAGAACTTTTTCAATACATTTTGTTGGCGTAAGTCAAAAATACAGTCAAGAATATTTTCTTTGAGCTTCCGTGGCCAGCAATTTGACACTAACTGAGGCAAAAATGCAATTACAGCAGCCAACAGGTGGGAAATTTGTCGTCGCTGACCAAAAATTTGCGGGCAGAAACAAAGTTCATTGCATTTACATTCAAAACAAAGCAGAAAGTTAGCAAGAAGCTGTTTTAGGTGACGATTTTTTGCTTTCCATTCAACGATTTACAAATTAACGGTTATTCTTTTAAAAGTCGACTATGAGTTCTTTGGTTTGGGATAATTTGTTTTGTAATCGAGTGATTCGAAGAAGTTAATATGGCGACGTGAACATGGGAGTAAATACCGTATACGTCGATCTGTGGCTTGTTTAAAATCGTAATAAACGAAGAAAGACGTGATATGAGAATGAAATGTAAGTTGAAATTAACTTTATATGCTTCAAATTTTCCATCCTATGTTTCTTAATGTAACTTCAGCTGTCTAAATTCAAAATACAAGCTCGCGAAATTTGACAAATTTTGAAAATATGTGAAATAGCTTGACTTTGAACTGTATTTTCTCAAAAATAGCCCGTGGCCTCAATTTCAAATATAGATAAATGAAAAGAAAAAACTGTTAGGTGTTTGTAGGTATCAAACATATCGTCAGGAAAATGTTTTAGCTGAGTCTTTGAGACCCAGTTGCTTCGCACGTGTTGTTGTTAAGTTTTTGCCAAGAATCAAAGGCCGAAATGTGAACTTTCTTCAAGAAAACCGCTTCGAGAAGGGTCTAGTTTGAGTATTTAGCTATTAATTTCGATTTCGAGAGCATATTTTGGTTACGCGTTAAATATTTTTGTATTTGCTGAGATTCAAAATTTGTTGTATATTCAAGCCCGGCTTTAGTGTAATTTTGGTGATGACCGGAACAGAAATAAAGATATTTTAAAAACTGGCCGTGGTCTCGCGATAAAACTTTCTGAAAATGTTCTCTGTTTCATGTACTTTTATTTAATATCTTAGGTATAAGCGTAAAAATAGGGGCTCATACAGTTTACGAGGTGGTAAAATGCATGACTTGCCTCTATGTTCATGTAAACATTCGAAATTTTTCGACAGCATAATAGCGACTGTTTCAGATCGAATGCATACGGACAGCCCACCAGAGACAATGGCAGGGTACTGAAATAGAACGTTACTAAACAGTTCTGTATGATTAATTTAGATCATGTCCATTTTCAACATAAAACAGTCATTTATTTTGTACAAACATTTGGCAATATTTACACGATTGTGCCTTTTTATAAACACGAGTTGCGTGTATTCCACGCAATTGTGTTGCTCACTTTGCTCGCGCATGCTCAGACAAATTTCCCACCTGTTACAGCAGCCAGAAATTTACAGATTTTGTTCGAAAATTTCTGCTTTTGTTAGTTAAGAAGGACATGAATATGAAATGAAACAAACTACAAAAAGCATACTTTTCGAATATCGGTGCTTTTTATTAATCTATATATTTTGTTTTTTATATATTTTGTTTTATTAAATTAAACTCTAAATTAAATTTCTTTAAATACTAATATATTACTGAGCGAGAGTGAGGGCAGTGCGGGAAAATGTCCAACCGAGATCTTGCTGTATTGACAGAGCGATAGCGAGGTCAATACAGCAAGACCGAGCTTGGATATTTTCCCGTACTGCCCGAACTGTTGAGGTCAGTAAGTTTTTTTTACTAAACGGCATTCTACTTTTGTAGGAAATGGGAAAAAAGGTCACGCGAGGTCAAAGTACAAAGTCCGACTCATTTGCAAAAAAATAACAATTGTAAAACATTTTCTCATGGTTAATAGTGAAACTACTTTACACCACTTTTTGAGAATACTAACACGGTTTGGATAGTATTTGAAGAAAAATACGAGGTATTTCGTCATTTAATCACAGGCAACAAATATGAAAACAGTGAAATTAAATTAATAAACAGCATCGACAAGTACGTTTTCGGCTCGCTTAATTCGTCTCTTTTTATCTGACAAAAACAGAACTTTTCAGGGAAAAATTATAAATCTATGTCTTCTTTAGTTGTATTTTTTATTTAGATGGTGTCAGATTCCACCTGGCCATCTGCAAATAAAATTGTAGCTCTTCACCAACCTCGTACCCAGGGCTAGCCGCGAACTGAAGGCGGCGGCGTAGCCCTGGTAAACGCTGGTCACGTGACTCCAACATTACGTAATTGTTACTTTTCTCAACCGGCGGGTGAATGCTAGATGTGAAACTCGAAGATAAACAGTTTTTATCTCCGAAATTCTTCAATCTTCCCTGTGAATTTTGCATTTCAAGCTTTTCTCAAAGTACGGCGATCGATCAAATGGATTAATACTTTCTGTAGAAAACTGAACTCAGTGAGATTTGTTCGTATGAGACGTTTAAAAGAGTTGGATATGTCGCTCAAGACGCTCGATCATTTGCACAGGTTTATGGTTTAGTACTTTGTTCAGTTTGTTGCGACTTGCGAAGCAAATGAATGCAAATTCAACTCTTGTATAATGACTAAAAGTTGGTTTGTAGAGAGACAACTTATACAAAAGATATGAATTACTTGAACTTCAAACTAGAGACAAGTTCATGGACATCCCTAATATATGGACATTGTCACATTGATATTTCACCAATATGTAAATATGAAGTCATTAAATATATAAAAGGATTGTATATGTACAAGTGTTGTGCTGTGGTATTTACGTTTTTAACCCTTTAAGTGGCAATGCATCGTACTTTGTTAGTTTACTCTGTCTAACGCCAGACAATTTTACTCGTCAGGTGGACAGTGCATGCCGCCACTCAATGGGTTAACATGGTCGATGAACATGCCAAATGATCCTTGACCATGGTAGTGCATTTTTGCACTTGCTGGATGATATCGCAACCAAACATTGTTTCAGAGGAAGAGCCCTGAGATCATACTGTGTAGCAATTGGAATCTCGCATAGACCCTGCTCTTGCATAAAGCAGGCAAGACCTTCACTCAGAAGCCAGGATTAATATTAATTCCCCACATAAACATTTGGAAGCCGGACTGGCCCATCTACCATATGCAGGACAAAAAAACATGCAGCCTGGATAACTGTTAAACAACCAAATCAGCATGATAAATGTGTAAACAGTGTGATAATTTTTGCTTAGCCCAAACCAAAGCCAGTTTTCTAGAATTAATTTGCAGAATCCTAAGAATTGGACCTCCAACTTGAAGAGCTAGCTGTGCTAACCAAGTTGCATGGGCAACCCTGAATTGAAGTGACTAGAGCAAATCGTCAAAAAGTAATAGAGAGATCAGATTTGACTTCCACTACTGCTATTGCTATCATTAACTATTAACCAGATAAGTTTCATTTATCCAATCAAACAATCGGATGCAACTGCCAGATCAAGTAGTGGCAGCGGAAGTCAAATTTAAACTTTCTATATTATATATGGATTTCAGAGAGACCAGTCATTATTTGCTGATATATTATTATAACTTGTATAATCAAAAGCTACAGTAACTATATATTCATTTATGATATTGAAAATTGATATTTAATTATCTATAAAGTGAGAATAATTTTTAAAAAATATAACATAAAATGATTCATGCATGCTGGTGATTAAATATACCATATGGAGTGTGCATTCTGAATCTCTACAAATTCCTTGACATTATTTTTCCAGTACAGTGTAAAACTATATAAATGTGACACAGGTTGCAGGTATTAGGTTGCATGTCCACCAGTGTGCTGAAATACCATCCAGTGACCCGGTCTTGTTCATTGTTACTTGCATCTTGCTCATAAAGTTCTTTTCAATAATATAGAAAACTTCAAAATCATGCAGTAAATTTAATTTAAAAATTTGGTGAAAGGGGTCAATAGATGAAGAAATCATTTCTTCTTGTTCATACATATGGCCCCCATCTCTGTCAGGTGCTAGAGTAGAAATTTATTGAAGCCTTCAGGAAATAGTTATGGCAACAAGGTTACACGTCACACTGCAGAGTTGAGTTAGGCAATTTTTTCAAAGATCCCAAGGGCACAAAAGGTATAAATGTAGGGGCAAGGGAACAAAATAATGAAATTTTAATATGGGGGCAGGTTTTACGATGTGGTGCTAAACCTTTTCCCTAACAAATCCCTGACCAGCTGTAGTTGTCATGAACATTAAGAATACTCATTAACTGATGTTTGACTGTTGAAATATCCTAGCAGGAATAGGTCATCAGATTTTAGCTTTGTCAACCTGGCCACTCTGTTATTACAGTAATGGCTCATTTAGATAATTTCAGGCCATTAAATGTGTATACAAAGTATTTGAAGTTATACTGCTGTAAACTGTAGTTTAATAATACTGTAAGTGCAAACACGTTTCTCGCAGGGACAAATCAATATTTTAAATAATAATCATGTGAGAGTAGAACTTTACTGAGAGTCTGAGTATAGTATTATAGGCCATAGTCTGGCCATGTGTTTCTCATTCCTCGACAAATTCAGCTAACTATATTAACATACTGTACTGTATCAAATATATTAAATAGCCTTCGAAATATATATTTCATAGAGCTAGTCAGTGTAACAAATTATGGGAATCTGCTAAATAATTTGTGACAATAAAAAATACTTCTAAATATTTTATAATTCATACTGTATCTTTTACTTGATGGAAATCATCACAAATCAGAGGCGTAGCCAGGATTTTCAGTCAGAGGGGGCCGGCAAAAACCCAGGTGGGGCCAAGCCGCCAGTGACTCGAGACGTAAAGTTCGCGCAAGAAAAAATTTTGCGGACCACACAACATTTTAAATCTCCCCCCTCCCCTCCCCCCCTTGTCGACATCTTCTTCGGTAAAAAAATTTTCTGGACACTAACATTACAATTGCTTTGGTAGTACTTTCCCAATTTCCGTATCACTTTTTCCGATGCTTCACCACGAAGATTTCGACTAACATTAGAGTGTTTGAGCAAGAGAACGAAGTCGGACGACGTGGGCCGTGGTTGACAATTTTTGCCTGTCTTGCACATTATCTTACGCATTCTGAGTCTAGAGTCAGGCGTGAAGACAGATTAGAGATTTATGTCTACCTGTTTATGAATGCTGACCCAAAACCTTACCCTGATCAAGACAAAACGGCGAGACATGAATCCATATGTCGCCTTCGTTCTTTTGGGAAAATTCGCTGTGAACTTCGTTCCGAACGAAGACAGAAGGACAAAGACGGGATATAGTTTCATTCTCGCTGTTTTTTTCTGGGTCAGAGCAAGAATTAGGGTCAGTATGCATAAACAACGACACATGGAAAGACACGTTGAGCAACCACCAGTGACGTCCAAGTCAATATGCGCAAGATAATGTACATACGGCAAAAATTGGCAAGTACGCCTTCGTCTTCGTACTTCGTTTTCTTGCTCAAACTCTGTATTGACAATTTTCCGACGGGTCTCCCCCCCCCCCTCCCCTCCGCCCACGGCGCCACTGCCGAGCACGCATTAAAAATTCACTTGTAAAAAAAAACAGATTGGTTTAAACTTCATCTAACCCTCATTTAATACATATTGAAATAATTAGGGTTAGAAAAGGTATGTGTTTCAGTCAAGCTGTGTGCCGTAAATAAGCGAACAAGTGATTTTAGGTTTCACACCGATGCCCAGCAAAGCATATATTCTACAGAATTTTTGCATTATTGACAGCATGAACCTATATAATCAAGGATTCCCTTTTTTATACAATACATTTTATCAGGCCCCCCAAATTTTTCCAGGGGGGCCCCAAAATTCTGCCAGGGGGGGTCGGGGCCCCCGGCCCCAGCCCTGGCTACGCCTCTGTCACAAATTAGTATGTACGAAGTTGTCTCCATTTTCCTTCGAAATTCGAAACATCGCCTCCTCGGCGATTTATATGATGCGATATAAAAGAAGATTGATGTACATTCGACGTATATATAAACGTAACATGTTAAAAAGAAAGATTACAACAAAAAATAAAAGAATATAAATAATCCGCCCTCCTGTCTTTATTTCCATAAAGCCCACTCGCAGGCTAATACTCCAAGAATCTTGGAGTATTTGCCTGACACGTGACCAGCGTTTACCAGGGCCTCGCCCGCTTTGGCGGCCATGTTAAAAAATTTCGGCGGGCAGGCCCTGGGTACGAGGTTGGCTCTTCACATAGTCAGACTACAACTATTCTTGATTGCTCTAAATACTAATTAAGTTTAAACACATATTGCATTGTAAAATTTACCTTGTAAATTCGACTTTAAATTTGCTCACAAAAACGTATTGAAAAAGTTCTTTAATTAACCTCAGGAGTTGCCCCTCTTCTCTATTTTTGGTCTATGTTTCTTTGTTTTGAATAGTTTGAAAGACTTTTAGACACTTTTTGCCGTTTGAAACTCGGTTCTCGTCGCAGGCTCGCAGCTTCGTAGTATGATAAAAGTTTCGTATTGCCCGTGGGCAATACGGGAAAATCCTGCCTCGTCAGCAGCCAATAAAATTGCACCATTCGTCAAAACAAATACTTGCCATATAAATATCCAATATTCTATAAAAGGTGCTGTACAGTAGTTTCAAAAGCCATAAATGAAATTTATACAATCGAAATTTTGCAAATGTTTCGGACTTTGTTCTTTGCCCTCGCTTGACCATGGTTTTCGTTCTTTTACAAATGTATACAATACCCAGTGGCGCCCCCAGCTCGATAATTGGGGGGGGGGGGCGAATATTCATATCTTCATGTTCTGCATTATTAACTTCTTTTCAAATCGATTGTTTTTATGGTCTGTGAACTCAAATATATGAATATTCGCCCCCGCCCCCCAATTATCGAGCTGGCGGCGCCACGGACAATGCCTTATAAAAAAAAAACTTACGGACTTTATCTGCTTGGTTTTGCTGTATTGACCTCGCTATCGCTCGATCAGTACAGCAAGACCTCGGTTTGATATTTTCTTGTGCTACCCTCATTCCCAGTTAGTAAGTTATTAGTATTAAACTTTATAAGCTGATATTGATTATTTTTGGTCAAGTTTTATTTCTAGATTAATTGATTATCTGCTGACAATGCATGATACTGTATAATTGAAATGTGGCCGAAAATCATATCTCATCATCTCACTTGCGAACAGTTCCTCGTTCTGATCCTTTTTAAATCTTTACAGCTTTACCCCTCAGGTTACAAGGTCCATTTTCTGCAAATGGTACTGGTCGGGTGGAAGTATTCCATAATGGGGAATGGGGAACAATCTGTGATGATTATTGGGGTATAAATGATGCCAGAGTTGTATGTCGCCAGCTTGGTTATAAACATGCTGTTAAAGCTCTTCAAGGGCGAGATGTTCCTCATGGTACTGGAAAGATTTGGTTACATGGTATTGCTTGTACTGGGAGTGAGAAAAACTTGGGCGGTTGTACTCATAGATCATGGGGATCTCATTATTGCTCGCACGATGAAGACGCAGGGGTGAATTGTTCTTCAACAGGTAAAAATCGTTTATTGTTTTTAACCACTCTGTCTCATCAGGTAAATCATTACCGGCTGGGAGATCTGTACTGAAAAATATTTTCCCAAGGTCCGCTCCGCGCAGAAATTTCGGCCTAGTGAAAAACGGCCTTTAATTAACGGTAAATAACGTATTTATTTTTTTGCTCTTTCCATTTGCGCATAAATTAAACAAGTCGACATCGTCCTGTTTTAATCTAACGACTATTGTGATTCATATATTTGGTTCATGCAGTGCATGTTATGTAGACCACCGTAAGACACAGTGAAACAATATCTCGTAATCCCTGTCGATAGTTTCAGTCAAATGTCAACATTATAGCGATTTATGGGAGTCAAGCGAAATGGTATATTATCAAATTACGCAATATCGCTCGATAAATAGAAACTAGCCATACCTTTTGGCTTTCGAACTTCGGCCCCTTGGGACATACTACAGTGTATGGGAAAGTACATTTATTACGCCGAGGGGTGAGGGATGAAGATGTCTTGAAAAAAGCTCATAATTTTACAGGGGCCCTGTTGAGGCTATTGGTAAATTTTTGATGCCCCCACCTCCAAGTTTCTAAAATTTTTAATCCCCCCCCCCCAACAAATAAAAATTGGAATCGAAGGAGTACAATCCGGAATTCTCTCTTGTCATAGATACAATTTGCAGTTCCTCAAGATGTCTGATATACTCAAGCAAGCGCTACTCCTCAACATAAATACCAAATTGCTGCTTCTTTCACCTCAGTATTGCCAGATGAAATGGCACCGTCTTTAAAAACATTTTAGATTGGCTCTAGGGGCGAAATTATCGACAGATTGTTGTTGTCCGTCATTCAGCGAGTCGGAGTTTTGAACACGTTCAGGTAGTGGCCGGGATTTGCTGGATCAGATTAATGTTCTAGAACCTTAGAGAACCTCGCCCCCACCCAACTTATCTCCTGGTATCTGTTGCAAATTTCTTTGCATGCTTGTCAAAAATGCATGCAAAAATCCCAGTATGCTTCAATTTCTTTATTTTCCATCCCGTTTGTACTAAATATCCCATGAACATAGAACATATCATTCTTACAAATTATATGCTTTACTTGTTTTTGGATCTGCTACTTTTTGGCGGGTAAATTACTTCACAAGCCTAGCGCCAAAAAATTAAAACAAGCCATAGGTGATTTCATGTATCCATTTAGAAGAGCAGACTAATGATGCATATGTCTTAAAACTGAAATCGGTTACGATATACAATCACTAGGGACGTAGCGAAGCATCTGACGTTTGGGGAGGGGATGTCGGAGGATTTTACGTGAAATTTGATTTTCAATGTTAAATATTTCCTGAAGTCTAATAATTATAATAATGCTTTTTGTGATTGATTGGACTCTAGGACTGAATTTATGGCGTTTCCTAAAGCAAATTCGCAAACAAATTGCATGTAAATGGACTGTATCTTACAAAAATGGTTAACATTTCACAAAACTAGTTACTCTATTATGAAAATGTCAAAATTTTAACTTGGTTTTACATGATTTTTGCCTCAATTTCATAGTAGGGTGAGCTTTACACACCCCTCCCACACACCCCGGTCGCTACGATCCTGACAACCATTCCTTGCGAAAATAAAATGACTTAAGGTGGCTCCCTAGGGTTTTTAATTTACTACACTATTGTATTCAGGAGACTCCTGTTTCTTTACTTTACATGGCATGAAAACGAAATTTATTGGATACGTTGACAATGTTCTACTGAACATTGCAAATTGCTACTTTTGTGTTAAAAATATGTTGTCATGGCAACAGCATGCTTAGAATAATGCTCAAAATTTGTCTTTTTCAGGTCATTTTAGAAATTCCCTTCGGTGAAATTTTTTAAAACTCTGCATGAAAGATAATACTTGTATGATGATTTTTCTCCTCAATTTAAAAAAGTTAAATCGATACGTTTCTTAGAAAATTTAAAAAACGTCAAAAATCAATATTAAAAATTTCCCCTTCGATTTAATTTTAAGAAAAGTAGATATTGCACTTGTTGTGCCGATATTAAAAAATGTGCAAAGTTTTAAAAAATTTTACCGAAGGAAAAACAGAGAAATTTGGGTTTAATTTTGGCAATTTTTACTAGATTTTTACGCGAACAATTTAATACCCCAACTGACGTGTACATACATTGTCTATACCAATACCCCAACTGACGTGTACATGCATGTACATGATTTTTACGCGAACAATTTAATACCCCAACTGACGTGTACACACATGCTTTATATAAGTAGAGCAACGCTACGCCGAGCAAAAGTCGGTTTGAAGTATATGATTGTTATTTGTTATAAAGACAGACTCATATTTGTTGTAAAGACAGCTTCATAGTTAAGACTCGACTCGATATGTCAGCGAATTTAAGCAAAATGCACGATCAAATTTCAGTTTTTATAGTAGTATGTTTGGACTTTGGAGTTTCGGCCCTGCTCATTTCACCCGTAGAGGGCTCATTATTTAAGTCATCTTTATTGTCATAAGTGCTGCTAGATTGTGGAGAAAACACTGCAAATTCTTGAGCTAGGAAACTTCATATCATATCCCAATGTTCGCGATCGAACTTCGCGTACGGCGGTTTGAAAAACTTCCAGAATAACGCTTGAAAAAAAAAACAAGTTTACATTATCTTCTTTTGAAACATCACATCCAAGTATCGTTTTGGCTTTTAGAACTCTTTTTATGCTTTCACTAAAGCAAAGTTCACACTTTTGTTTCAAAAAAAATTCTATATAAAACACAACGTTCGTTCGTATTTTGAAGTCACACGAGTTTTAGTTTACATATATACGAAGAACGTAACCCCCGGACATAAAACCCTCGGGAGCCACCTTAAAGTTCTAAAAATCCGCAATTTTGTTCTATTATTTGTAACAATATGGCAGATTTTTCGACATTTGTATCGCTATTTCTTCTCCAATCTGAATTCTACCCGCTATCTCTAAAATTGCGGAGCGCCTGGTTCACGATCAGCTGGCAAACTTTTTGGAAAACTCAAGTCTGTTATCACCTACCCAGTTTGGTTTTAGATCTAAGTACTCAACTGGTCTCGCAGTTACCTACTTTACAAATACAATCATTAATGAAATCGACCGTGGAAATCTAGCGGGGGCAATTTTTATAGACTTCCGTAAGGCATTCGACACGGTCGACCATGCTGTTTTAATTAAAAAGATGGAGATGCTTGGTGTTCGTGGTGTCCAGCTTAAATGGTTTACGGAATATTTATCAAATAGACAACAAGTTGTAATCTATGATAATTATAGATCGGATTATTATCCGGTTTCTTACGGTGTTCCTCAAGGATCCATCCTGTGGCCACTTCTGTTTTTGATATATGTACATTGATGATATTTCCAAGGTTTTAAAACACTGTAACGTTATCATGTATGCAGATGACACCGTTCTTTATTTCTCTCATAAAGATATTAAAAGTATTGAAGCTGTTTTGTCTGAAGACATGGATGCAGTTGCACAATGGTTGCAGAGGAATCAGTTGGTGATTAATCTTAAAGTCTATTGTTTTGATACAGCAAGACGTCTTGCAAAGGAAGGAAATTTATCCCTGTGTATCCAAATTGGAAGTGATGTAATTAGAAGTACCACTTCATATGTATATCTCGGTGTGAAGTTAGACCCAACGCTTAACTTTGGCCAGTATCTGCACAGAACCTTCAAGAAAACATCAAGTAAAATGAAAATGCTCAAGAACTTACATTCTTCTTTGACAGTCCAGTCTGCTCTTATGATTTGTCAGTCCATGATTGTCCATTAATGACATATAGTGATATGGTAACTTTGAATCTACCTGAATCATGGTTATCAAAGTTTGTGGAAAATCGGGCAAAGAAAATTATTGCAAATGGATTAAGTATTGAAAACGATGATTTAAATATACGTGACTTTTACTCGACACGCATTTTTAACGCGGTTATGGTGGTTTTTAAATCTTTAAATGGTCTATCATGTGAACCATTTAATCACTATTTTCAAATTATGAGTCATCAACAAAATACTCGTATAATAACGATTATTGCATGCCTGCGACTACCGAAAGTCAAATTGGAAGTTGCCAGGAAAGGGTTTTATTTCCAAGGAGCTATGGCTTTTAATAAACTGCCTTTACATGTTCGCCAGATAAACTCCATTGTACATTTTAAAAGTGCTCTTAAGGAAATGAACAGTTTTTAGACATTAGGTATCATTGTGTGTTTAGTATTGTTTGTATAGCATATTAGCATATTTTTATCTATATAGATTTATAAACTTAGTATTAGTTACAGGACCCTTAGTGATAGCAGTATTTAGTAATACTGAATAAGGTTTTTATCCTGTATAAATAAAGTTTTAATAATAATAAATAATAAAGACATTGTAACAGAGGATAATTAATTATTGCTTCAGTTAATGGCTATGAGACTATATTATAAAACAATTATACCATTCGCTCTCGTCGTATATGGCTGATAGCCGACGCGGTGCTACGCACCTCGTCGGCTATCAGCTCGTATACGACTTGAGCTCATGGTATAATTGTTATATATATATATATATATATATATATATATATATATATATATATATATATATATATATATATATATATATATATATATATATACTAGTTCTGCAAGTGTTATGTTAGTTGCTCAACACTTGCAGAACTAGTATTGTTCGATGCTGAATTAATATAAACGAGTATGTTTATGACATTCAGTATATATTTCATAATTTCCAGTCTGGAATCCGTCTGGCCGTGTAGCTCAGTAGGTAGAGCGTCGATCAAGTAATTCGAAGGTCGCGGGTTCGAGACCCAGCCGCGGCAGACAACATCTTTCTGCTTGCGCTGGGTATGGAAATTATATAATACACACTCTAGAACATTTTCATCTTAACATATTACAGAGTGTACAATTACACAACTAAGCATGTCGTGAGGTAGCTACTTGCTTCATCCAGTTTGACTTGCCAGAAGCCATTCTTCGCATCTGCAACACTAAAAACTTTGTTTTCGCAAGCTCCGGTAGGATTTCTTCAATCGCGATCGGCATTGGGTAGTGGGACCGCTTTAATTAAAAGCTTTGTTGAAGCCCTTTGGATCGATACACAGTCGAAGCTTGGATCCCTCCCTTGACAGTTAATCCATTCAATCGGCTCTGTGATATTCTTGAGAACTTCCATTTTTCCTAATCCTGAATATGTGCTTTTAGCTCAGCTTTCAGCTGGGGTATGCTTTACCAGGTTGAGCATCAGGGTCAAACTCTAGGTGGTACTCACCATGCAAGCAGCCAAGTCTCTCGAACACATCTTTATATTCCATGAATATACATATCTGACGGAGCTATTAGCTACAGTATATGCACAGTGATAAGTCTCATGCTTGTACATGTCTCTCCAGACAGCAATGGCTTCTGGTCGACATTGATAATCTCGAATTTAAGCTTGCGACTATCGCCATTCTAGATGCAGTTGAGGTCACACTCTCTAAGGGCTAGTACAAAACTCCCATTGTATAACGTTAATTTGGTGTTAGTTGGCTGCATGACTGGGCTTCCACTCTGCTTGATTTCACATAAGGTATTGAAGGACATGACATTACATTACAGGTGGCCCCTGTGTCAAGGTGGCACTGGATTTGACTTTCACCACCGTCCTTATCCCAAAGGGAAAGGGATACAAAATAACTCTTTCTTTCCGCATGTCTTATTGCATCAACAGTTTCGACATAAAATGCATACTCGTCATCCGATTCTTTATTCATAAGGTTAACTCCTTGCTTCTGCATGCAAACTGATTGGAATTTATTCGCCTTTCCACACTTTCGGCACGACTTTCCAAAAACTGGACATGCACTTACAGTATGTTTGTCCCGTTCATGAGCTCCACCACAATACTTGCATTTGTCACCTTGCTTGAGTTGGCTCCTGCTCTCTCTCTTCTTTGTCGATCTACTGATTTTGGAACATTCCGTTTCTTTGCATCTTCTCTCTGAGCATAATTGACAGGCTCTTGATTGTCCTCTCTCTTTATTTCCTTCAGTTGTCCACTTGTGGTCTCACTTATACAAAGGGACTCTATAGATTTCTTGAGAGTAATCTTTTCACGGAAAAGCCTGGTCCTGGCCGCACTGTCCCGACAGCCAAGAATCGGACGGTCTCTCACCATTTCATCTTCTAGTGTTCCAAAATTACATGACTCAGCTAATTGCCTGAGCTTTATAAGAAACTGGTCAATAGTTTCATGTACTTGCTGTTCAGTGTTATGGAAAATGTATCTCTCATGCAGAATATTCCGCACTGGTACGAAACGGTCTTGCAGCTTTGCAAGAATAATAGCTGGATCCTTCATATTAGCCTCTGATAATTGAAGTCTTTTAAGTATTTTCTTTCACTCAGTTCCCATTAGACTTTTCAAAGTGGCCACTTAATGTACATACGTTCTTGTCTTTCTGATCTAAGCCTGTTGCTATTAATTAATCTTCGTATGCTTCATGAAAACTCTTCCAGTCAGTGGCGTAGCCAGACCTTCATTCTTGATTTCGGTCAGTGTCACCTTATTTTCCCTCTGTGGTGCTAGGGTGATAAAATCCCAATGTGATGTTGATCAGAAATGTTGCACTTAAATCATTCTACGTTCTATGAGACACCATTTCCGCATTCTTAAAATTGCTTTGTTTTTTTATACGATACAGAATAAGTCTGAGAAGAATATTCATGTTATGATAATGCACACATGTAAATCTAAACTAAATCTATTCTTTAACAAGAATACATGTAAATGTAAACTAAATCTATTGTTTAACAAGAATAGATTTACTTCTTTAACAAGATTTTACGAATCAAGTTCCTCCAGTATATCGTCGCTTTCCTCAGTCGAGACGTACTTACTCAGTTTCCGCTTCGAGCATGAAACGTATACTCCCCCCCCCCCCAATTTCTCTACGGATTTAGCCTTTTTCAGAGAATGGTTTTTGTGGCGAATGGGGAGGGGGGCTGTCGCCACCCCTTCGCCCCCCTTGGCTACTCCACTGCTTCTAGTTGTTTGCGACATTGCCATTGCAATTCATTGGTTCTGGTGCTGGAATCTGGTATGTTGCCATGCTTTTTTTACGGTTTTGAATCAAACTTTTTTTCCGAATTCAGAAAATCCAATATAGCGCCCTACAGGGTCACGTAAATCGTCGAAATATTTGCGAAAAATTGAACGCGATGCAGAAAATTTAGATTATTTCCTGCTTGAATGTTGACTTTATGTCAACAACCGAGTGACCAAACAGGCATAAAGTAAAATAGATACTGCATGGACATATAGGCTGTAGAACGGTTAATAAATTAACCGACAATTAAGGGTTACTGCCACATCTATAGTACTCTGATTGATCTATGTCTTACTAACACACCTGCAATTAATATTGTGAAATCTGCAGGATGTTATACACTTATCTATTAGCGAACATTGGTTTCTTTCGTGTATTCTGGTTTCCTCCGTGTACTCGAGCTCCGATTTTTTATAAGATTTATAAAGATGGCGAAAATAATTAAATCCGAAGTTCCTGTCGTTTTTCGACTGCAGGAAGATTGCGATCACCTTATATGATTGGCAGTCAAGTTTGAAACTCCATGAATCTTGTAAAAGTTCACTTTACAAGCGATTTCCTTCGCTCTAGCGACGCTATGCTGCTTCTAAGTTTGGGTGTTTCATGCAGTAATCAAAGCATGCCGGTGAAAGCAAACGAAATAGAAGTTGTTATGAAAAATAGCGGTATTAACGACGAAGCAACTAACGAGATCGAAGACGATGCCAACGACGTAACAGCCAGCGAGACCGAAGGCGAAGCCACAGAAGAAGAACTTTCGGCTTCCAGTGACAATACACAACCAGAATTACAATCAAAGTCATTTGAAGATCTTTTTCCCAGTTTATTTAAATGATTTTATTGAGTATTCTACAAAATCTACTATTAAAAGTCTAAACACGATATGACAAACACTCACAAGAACAAATACAACAACAGAAAAACAGAACCTCACCTACATAACAACATAAGCAGGTGCAATTTGTAGAAGACTCAAACGGCCAAATTAAAGCACGAACGAGACACAAAATCCCATGCAAGGTGCTCACGTCACAATGCAATGTATAACAGATTCTACAGTGTCAATGTTCAAAGACTGACAAGAAATAAACAGTACAGTATTTGAATTAGAAATTGTGGCAAGAGCAATCAGGCACCAATTTCCACGTGCATGACATGTCTATGTCAAATTTTGCCTCTAAACAGTGTTCAGTTGTACGTGTCATTAATGTTTCTTTTAAAAGAGGCGGAGAGGCTGGATTAAGGAAGTATTTTACAGGCGTAGTTTCATATTTTAACAATGCGGTTGAAGTAGGATGCTTGGAAAGTACTTGACTTGCAGTATAGAGCTTTGAGAGCGAGCGTAGTATTTTGGCTGAGCCCTTGTCCGACCATCTTCACAATTTTTCAGCACTACAAATTGAAGGCGACGATGATGATCTTAAAATAATCACCAAGGGCAATGGTACCTCTGATCATATGGCGTTAAAACCGAGCTTGGGCAAAAGACCAAATAAAAATAATTCCGGAGGTAATGGCAGCGCTATTTTGAAAGAACCCGTTGAGTCTACAAGAGTTTCAAAAACTGAGGATAAAGAAACTTATATTTATTGCTGGTGATTCCATCGTGCAGCATGTTCACTGCTAGGAATTGTCAAATGCGAAGCAACGCGTAGCTGTAAAATCGTTTTCAGGAAGTAAAGCTGGAGATATGGCTGAATGATTACTTGAAATTTTGATTCGCAAGACGCTTGCTGAAATAATAGTGCATGTGGGCACTAATGATCGACATCAAAGACGACTCAAAATCAACTCAAGTGGTTGCTGCAGAAATTTTAAATCTGAACAACCAGATTAAAGATAATTTACCCGACACTAATGGAAGTATCTCAGGTATAACCGTCAGGAAGGACAAAGCAAGCGTTAATAATAAAATTAATAATGTCAATGTCATACTCAAACGTGTGTGTGATCATAATAAATGATCTTATATAAATAATAGTAACATTGACAACACTTATCTAAATAGACGTGGCCTGCATTTAAATCGGAAGGGCAGCAGTATAATTAGCCAAAACTTTAGTAATTACTTAAATGCTTGAAATACGGCATGGCCAGGTGGTTCAATGAATATGCCATTTAATCATGTAGATTTTCCCGATATTTAATAAGGGTTTGAAATTGGGCATGCATGCTAAAGATAGTCAGTTTACCCAAATATATAGATGAAATTAGAGTTCCTTTAGCCGATCAATATTTTGATATTCTTGCACTAAATGAGACAAGACTTGATGATAATATCTCTAATCAGGTCGACATGTTTATACATAATTACGATCTGATAATTAGAGCGGATCGCTCACGAACGGGAGGTGTCGTCTGCTTAAGAAATTCCATTAATTATCACGATCGAAATGATGTGGTTGGGGATAATCTTGAAACACTTTGTATCGAGATTCATAAATCTTCTAGTGCACCCTTTATTGTCGGAACTATTTATAGGCCTTCAAGTGCCTCTGTCGACTCCTTTGCCAATATTGAGCAATTAATCAAATCAATAGATGATGAAAATAAAGAATTTTACCTACTTGGTGACTTAAATGCTAATATGCTAGATAATTCAAACAATACCACAAAACATTTGAATTCAATAATTGAATTATTATATCAATTATCGCAAACAATAAGTACACCCACTCTTGTGACCATGACCACTTCTTCTCTATTAGACGTTTGTCTCACTCCTACGCCAGATAAATTAATTACATCCTGAGTGGTACCGATTGCTATTAGCGATCACTATATGATCTTAACCGTCCGCAAAATTAATATTCATCCTGAACAAATTCGCAATAAGAAAATCCAAATTCGAAATTTCAAACATTTCAATGCTGAAAACTTTCTAAATGATTTACGAAATCAGGAGTGGGATCTGTTGGATAGTAATCCCTGTGTTGACAAGATTTGGGAAACATGGAAAACACTTTCTAATAGTTTTGGATAAACATGCTAATGATAAAATAAGTCTAATGTATACCTTGGCTCACCAATATAGTTAACGACTACAAATGCGTGAGCGAGATCGTATCAAACTCCTTGCTATAAAGAATAACTGGGAATATTACTGGAGCGCATATAAAATGTCCAGAAATAGTGTAACTCAAGAATTACGAGAAGCAAAAACAGCTTATTATAAAAGACAATTTGTATGTGTCAAAAATTATCCTAAGTAAGCTTGGAAAACAGTAAACAAAATTCTCAATCGCAATTATAAAAAATGCGGCTCCGAAATTAATTGTATTAATTCACTGAGCGGACAAATCACTTGCTCAAGTGAATTAGTAGCCTGCGAAGAGGCTCTCAAGCTGAATTGAGAGCCTGCATCGATGACTAATGAATTTGAATATCTGAATATATATTTAATATATATATTTAATATACATATATATATATATATATATATATATATATATATATATATATATATATATATATATATATATATATATATATATATATATATATATATATTATGCTAAGCCTTTATGCGCACGCTCACTGCATTTTACAGTTTAAAAACGGCGATAAAGCACACAAGTAAAAGACATTGTAGCGCCCTTCAAGGAAAGCTCAAACAACGGCAACTGTGGACAGCTGTTTCGCCCTTTTTGGGGCTCATCAGCACAGTGCACCGATGATGAGCTTCCACATACCAAGAATAGATATACTATAGAAGACAGTGTGGTGGGTGTGGGACACTACAGAACTTTATATACTACACATTATGCCTAAGCCTTTATGCGCACGCTCACAAAATAGTTTGTGTAGGGTTATAAAAACCAATATGATAGAGTTATAAAAACCAGTGATAGGGTTATAAAAACCAATGATATATATATATATATATATATATATATATATATATATATATATATATATATATATATATATATATATATATATATATATATATATATATATTATATATATATATATATATATGAAGCGATCCATCAATCTATTTGTTTTACAAATTGGAACTCTAAATTTACGTTTATTTCTACGGTAAGAATACGTTGTATAGTTTGTGGTTAGGAATATAGAATCACGGCAAATTTCATGAAACAGTTTAGGATAGGATAAAACTATAGACATTCCCTGCGAAGTTGTTACTTGTTAGATATTCCCTGCGATCATGAATGCAATGAAGATAAGCCACAGATTTCCAATCAGATGTCCGTGGTTGATGGGGAAAATATTTGCTGCTCGCTTCTGCAACCTTTCAAGATCATCGGAAAGGTAGTTAGGGAGCGCATCGTGAGAAACATGACTATAGCGCTGACTGAGATTTACATGCCATTTTTGTTAATGCATACAACATTCAATATGAGAAATGAATTGTTAAATAATTAGACATTTAGTTTACCCATCGTTTAGCTAACGGATCAGGAAACAATCTTAGTCCAGAAAATTTCAGTTCCACTTCTGTGGTGTTCATCCAATTCTAAAACGAGAAATATTCAATTGTCAGGTTGCTATTATATCTATTTTATTTGAACGCTTATTTATCATTAATTTCACAAAATTTTAACACACCAAAAGTTGCGTATTCAACTCCCCATCATTATTAACAATTTTCCCTCGACCTCCTTCCAGATTAATTGTTATCTACAGAAAAAGGAACGTAATTTGAAATGCATTCAGAATGTAACTGGAGTGCCTTCGGAATGGAACTGGAACGTGTTCGCGACGCAAGTAGAACAGAATTGGAACGCGTTCGAAACGGAAATTAAACGCATTTTGAAACGCAAATGGGCTATGTTTCGAGTTGAACGCAAATGGGAGTTATTTGAAACGCGTGAACAGAAATGGAATGAAATTATGTTTGGCCTCTAAAACTTACCCATGTAAAAATCTCATCATTTGTCGACAAGATGTATTCGCAACAGACTTGTAGCAGGTTTGTCAACAAGTTGTAACAATGCTGTTATTTCATCAAGTTGCTACAAGATTGTCACTCACAACTTGTTGACAAATTGTTGAATTGCAGGACGATAACAAGTTCTTGGAAGAACTTGTAATAAGTCTATTGAGCTCAACAACCTTGTGGCAAGTTTTCGACAAGCCGTTGACAAACTTGCAACAAGCTGGGAACAAGCAGTGCGAACACATCCTGTTAACAAGTTGTTGGAACAGCATTGCTATACAAGTTTGCTGCAGGTTTGTTACAACTTGTGCGTTTTTACGTGTGTAATTTAGAAGTACAGTACATTTCACTTACATTTTCATTCGTTTCCAGCGCAGCACCAGTATATCGTGTGCACAACACTGCATTGGTAGGGATAGGAAATCTGTTAAATGGAACACCAAACACCGTTTCGCATTGCTCTTCTTCGGTGACAAGATAATGCCATGGCTCAAAATTACCACTTGTGCTTGACTTTTTGTGAAATGCGATATGTTTAGGACGGGAATAGTCTCCAAATGATATCGTGATGAAGTTCACATAGTAGAACTAGGAATACAAAGCAATAGCTATCATATTATATCTAAGGGACCAGTTATTATTTATGGTGGGGGTTGGCACCGAAAAGAAAAGAGTTGGGTAAACAACATTTTGAGAGATGTTGTTTCGTTCAGCTTCTGAAAGTTGTACATTCCGTATCGGATAGGTGCTCATATAACAAAACTGGTCATAAATTTGAGTTATTTTATTCAAAACTTTGAGTCACTGAGAGTGGATTATCTGACTCAAGTTTTGAATCAAAATATTTTGCAATGTGGACGCGTATAGCACTGTGTCAATTTCACAGAATACCTTTACACTATACACTATACAGAATGCAACTTTAATCTTTATACTGGTATCGAGTCTATTGACAAGTATCACCGGCTTTCGTCACAAGTGACAACACGTAAAAACTATATAAACTATATGAGAGGTATATATACTATAAAGAATTACATGTGAAGCGTATTACACAATACACAACTTGTATGCAGTAAAAATACATTCCGGAAAACACGACAAAAACATTCGGTTGCTAACGACGCAAATTCACAGCAACCATCAAACCGTATAATATAAAAGTGACAAAAGCCTAACTTCAAAGCACCTCATACCTTTTGGTTTACCCCTGATAAATCAACAGTTATTGTAGTATTATCCTTGCCCCCTTCTGCTTGCCAAAACGTCGCGAAATTTTCGTCCACAATGGCTTTTGGTGGATAAGCAAGGTCGGTTATATTTTGGTCGCATGTTGAAATATTTCGTTTAAACGGCAAAAGCTTTGCTTGCGATATATGGTAGAACATTTCGCTACTGTTGACACCACACGAGGGTACAGCTTCCACTGTTTTATTAAATGCTGCATTGGCAGCAAAACTGGAGCGTATTAATACAGAACTTGCGAATAGAAATAACCACAAACTCGCTGCCATTTTGTCGCTATGTCGTGTGAAATTTGATGCGTTGGAATTTTTATTGTTTATTCAAAATAGGGATTAGCGAATGTTTACAAATTTGAATTCGGCAGACTTCAAGATTTGAGAGAAAAATTTTTGAATTAAAAGTGGGTCTTGGAGATTGAAAAAAGTGCGTTTGATCAAAGCGTAGACGTAGTTTAATCACAAAAACTCCTGTACGGGGCATAAAAAAACGAGACCTTTAGAAATTAAGCACAAGAATAGATGTGAAGGTTTTATGCTCATGGAAATTTAAAATAGTTACATAAAAAATTGTTAAATTACTCATTAGTCATGATATCATCAGTTCGAATAAAAATATGGTCAACTGACTATAGGCATAGAGCAACGAGTTTTTTTAATACGCGCTGCGTTAAATTAATCAGCACGTGATTCATATGTTGGACGAAACCAAATGAAAGTTTTAGGTAACTTCGTCATGCATAAGATTTACTTCTATTCTGTTTTATCAGTCTGTCAAGATATGATGGTCTGGAAATTATATCCCAAAGGTCGCGGGTTCGACTCCCACCGTGGTCAGGCAAACTTTTCAGCTTGCCTGGTGTGGATGCACACTCAAAGTAACATAACAAAAATCATATTCACCAGCTCTAGGAAGAACAGTTTAGGACTGATAGAGCTATGCCTATGATATCCAGTATAAATAAAGTTAGTTTAGTTTCGGCTTCCTCCTGTAGTAACACTGGATCAATAACAGAGGTCCTTAGCCATTAGTTTCAACCCAGAGCTCACAAGACAAAGAAAAATTTTCTTGTCCGTTCCAATCCACAGATAATTTTCCTGAGTGGAGACTAGCCTTAACTGGACCTCTTGGGAGAAGAGTTTAGAACGGATAGAGCTATTTTTCTAAACTGTTCTCGCTAGAGTTCCAGTAAGAATCATCTCTTATTAATCCCTGAGTGTTACTACAGGAAGAAACCTCGACTAAACTAACTTATTAATACTGGATAAACAGGGGCGGCGCTACAGGGGTGTGTGTGGGGGGGGGACACCACCCCCCCCCCCACTCGTCAGCTAATCGGCAAATTGTTATCTCAGTCGGCAAAACTGGATAGGCTAAAGATAACCACTGAAGAAACCAAAATTGATCTCCTGAATAATTGAATTCAAACCGAATATCACGAATAGCATGCATCAAAGAAACCACACATGCAGCAATGCAAATTTTTTACGGTCTAAGGTTTAAAAACTGATGGGTATTGTGTATTGTGTATATACGTTAGATGTTTGAAGATCAAATTTCGCGCGTCTGGAGTTAAAATTTGGCTCCAACTTTCGAATTTTCCGGCTGGAGGTAACGTTCCAGTTATATTCCGATTTCAATGATTCGTAAATTAAATAGTGCTCCAAGACGTGGAACAGATTTTAAGAAATGCCGAGATTTTGACTTTTCGAGGGCTGCAAAATGGATGCCGACAGGAATTTTGGGTTTTCTGATTATGCGTGTCTCAGAATGATGCAAATGCCATTTCCGGGATTCAAATTTAAAAATTTTCCTTGCCTTCGGCACGAGCCTCCCCCCCCCCAATATTTCATAAAATGTCCGCCACTTGCACACACGGTGGCTTAAAAGATCTTAAAACTGTTTATTCTACCGATAAATAAAGGGGTTTTTATTGACTGGGATTTCAATAACTCGGACTGGGATTTCTAATAAAATCCAACTGGGACTGGGATTTTGCCAAAATTTCAGGTGGAAAATGGGATTGGGACCCCCCCCCCCCTCCCTTCAGGACCCTCACTATAGGCTAATGACTCGGCAAAATTACCAAACAACAGTCGGCAAAAGATCACCCCCCCCCCACTCGAAGAGGGTTAGCGCCGCCCCTGTGGATAAACTCTATCAGTTCTAAACTCTTCTCCCTGGAGGTCTAGTAAGATTGATCCAGTGTTACTACAGGAGCAGGGGCGAAACTTGAGGGGGGTATGGGAGGGGGGGGGGTGGCACGCCCCAAAATACGAATTATCCCGTTTGGCAGGGCAATTTAAATGATAGAATGTAAAGTTATTAAGTAACTTATTACAGCTAGCAAACAATAAGCAGTTCGTATGCATGCACATTGGCATCGGCAGTTCAATTATACACGTAGCTTAGTGATGTGTTGTATCAGCGCTGGCGCTGCAGGGCATCATTGCTTTTGGCAGGGCAATTCTGCCAGACAACCCCCTGATTAAAAGGGGCTAGTTTCGCCCCTGTACAGAAAAGAACTTTATTCGTAGTTGACAAATAACAAAGATGCTTCATACTTAGCCAAAACAATGGGTGACTAGGCGGCATCGGGAGGCAGTGGGGGTTTTCAAAACAATAAAAAGATGACTGGATGACATTACGTAAGGAGTCCAGATGATTGCACTTAATGTGCATGCCTTTAATTTGCATGACACAATCCAGTGATCGGAAAGTCGCATTGCTTAAGGTGATGGTTAAAGTTATTTTGGGGAAGCCTTGACAGTCCGAATTTTTCCTATTTGGAATTAGATAGTTTTGCTTTTGCTCCCCCCAATGAAAATTCCTTAAAAAAGGCACTGTTCCATTGCCTTGTCACCAAAATCTCACTGTTCTCCATGCCATCCAGTCGCTGTTAATGTTTTGACTCTATTTTCTCTAAAAAGCTTGTCGATATAAATCAATTGAGATATAAGCAATTAAGACTAATTTTTTTATTAATGCGATTGAGGAATAAAACGTAAATTCTGTTTTCTTGGCATGAAATAAAAACTGCTGATGACCTTGATTTACTCTCTTCAAAACCTAAATCTTTACAGTAAAAAACCTTAACAACAACATCGCTCCCAATTTGAAACCTCTGTTTATTTCGAGAAGTGATATGCAAACAGCATATGATCTCAGAAATAATAATGTAAATCTGTCCCTCCAGGTGCCTGAAAGAGAATTTCTCGAGAAAAAGTTCGAATACAGCGGAGCTAAGTTCTAGAATGTACTTCCGGCTGACTTCAGACTGCAGGCTCCATCGATTTATGTCTTAAAAAACAGTTTTCCAAAAATAAACAGTGTGGATGTCACCAGCGGCGGCGGAACAGATTTCGTTCTGGGGGGGGCTAAATTTTTTCGGCGACCTCTCCCCCCCCCAGCCAAAACAATTTCTGTCAGTGTACCACTTTAGGGGTACAATATACAAAAAAAGGGACGAAAAAAATTTTTTCGGACTTATATCAAAAAATTTTTTCGGAAACACTTTTTTTAAACAAATATTGCAAATTTGTCCCCTTATACCTAAATTTTCAAAAAATAACCTAAATTTTTCCCTAATTATCAAATTTTTTTCAAAAAATTCAAATTTTCTGGGGGGGGGCTAAGCCCCCCACTTTTACTTCTGGGGGGGCTTTAGCCCCCTAGCCCCCCCCTGTTCCGCCGCCCCTGGATGTCACACTATAGCTTTCCGATAAAGCGCGAAAAGCACCTATCAAATATGGAATGTACAACTTTCAGAAGCTGAGCGAAACAACTGCATCTCTCCGTTGCAATAATTCCTCTGAAAATAGCGTTCCTAAAACTGTAAACGCATTATCGGATAGATGTCTTTTCACGTCGCTACGGAAAGCTATCCATGTAAACGTACGTAGAATATATGGTATAAAAATTTCCAGACGTTGCGCAGTTCTTGTGGGCTGGAAATTTCAATAAAACCTAATTCAATTTATTAATGATAAAACCTAAATTATATTGTAAATTGAGAATAAAATATTTTTATATACCAAATGTTTTAAAGGTGCGCGGGGAATTTCAACACGTGGTTTATGACGTCACAGTTACAATAAAGTCCCTACAATCCATAGATATAGGAGATCTAGATTGCTAACGCATACCTAGCGCAGGCGGGGCCTACATGATAAATCCAAGATGGCGGTACAAGAGGGCAAAAAGACTATAGATTCTATTACGAAAATCAATATTTTTGCATTTTTTGCCGTCGCATTGTTTTGAAACTTATTCGGTCAAATTTTATGGTAAAGAGAAACGTAGCGCGAAGATTTTGAGCATATATATGATTGAATTGGATGAAAACTCGCAAAATTATCCAGCGATAAAAGTTCTTGTGAAATGGTCAGTTGGTTAGTTGGAACGTTTTATTGCCAGAAATACTGTGCTATGTTAACATCTAGTCTTGTGAATGGTGTTTTATACTTGCATCTTTCATCATCATCTGCTCTGTCCTCATAATTATGAAATATGAACTGTTATGTACCCCCCCCCCCCTTGCTTGTTAGAGAAGTAAACTGATGAGAGCACTGGATAAGGGTCTATCATCTATGGTCTGTTATAATTTGCTTTATATGCAAATAGTGAGCAAAAATTAAAGCAAAACTGTACAAGTTACATATATAGTACTATATCAGTACTATACACGAACTTTTATCGCTGGATAATTTTGCGAGTTTTCATCCAATTCAATCATATATATGCTCAAAATCTTCGCGGTAAGTTTCTCTTTACCATAAAATTTGACCGAATAAGTTTCAAAACAATGCGACGGCAAAAATGCAAAAATCTTGATTTTCGTAATAGAATCTATAGTCTTTTTGCCCTCTTGTACCGCCATCTTGGATTTATCATGTAGGCCCCGCCTGCGCTAGGTATGCGTTAGCAATCTAGATCTCCTATATCTATGCTACAATCCCACATACTCGAAGGACTGGTCAGTTTCATACTGATTAAAATAAATAGCGTTGTATTATGAAAATGGTATTTAAATTTATCTTAGTTGGGCTTTTATTGCTCACACTGTTGAGAGAAGTTGATGACGGGAAAACAACTATGAGATGCGCAGTTTTGCGGAGAACGAGAGATGAGGTGGATAGTGGTATTAAAGAATCGTCGCTGGTTTATACTGACGGTAAAAGCCGCAAACGCCGCAGTAGGAAAAATTAAAGGTTAGAGTCACCTTGAACGCTTCTTTTTTACAGTTTATGTGATGATTCGTAGTTGTTTTTGCTTTATTTAAGCTAAAAAAAACATGTTTATTGAAAACTTTACAAATAGCAAACGAAAACAAACCCTTAAAAGTAAAATGGCGACGAGTAAGACGTACATATATATATATATCTAAGGGCAATGAGCAATCAGTTTTTCCTTAATATGACATAATCGTTTAGCTTTATATAGTAAATAAATAGTCTTCCTATTAAAAATTCAAATCATTGTATATATGGTTGTATGCAAATTAGTGTATATTAAGTGTAGACAAAGTTTAAGCCAAGAAAGGCCAAGGGCAATTTCGGAAAATGTAAAGCGGCAGCAAGTCTATGAAAGTAGTCTATCCTTTGACGTTTCCATGCAGTGCTAATGAAAAATTGAGGAACTGAAATCGCTTCAAAGAAACCTTGCTGATAAATGTCCGAGACGTTGCAACACAACCTTGGGTATACATTTCAACAATGGCCGAAGGAATTGTTTACTGACCCATAACTATGGCGTTCCTGAAAAGCACGATGAAATTACAGACCGCAACAAATTTTTGAATATATTCAACAATAAATTGCAAATAAACGTCAAACCTGAAAACCTATGGATAGATCTCACCGGTTAGGGAGAAATCGACAAGTTAGTTCACGACCAAGACCAATAAAATAGTCACGTTCGTGTTTTGTTGTAAGAAGAAGCGGTCTAATGGCGGCCGCCAAAATTCGAACTTCATCGTCGTATAGGCCAAATATGAGATATCACACTAAAATTTTGCGAGACAGCTTCTTTATACACACTCTTTCAATCATGGTGAAAAACAGAAATGAAAATTTGGTCACAGTCGTACGAAGTTAGATCCACAAAAGATTGTACTGTACAGTTAAGTACCAAACGAAAGCTTGGAAGAGTATCATCCTTAATTAACGCGAGGCTTCAAAATCGGGCTTTAAAAGAGTCCCAAAATTTATCTATACTTAGGAGTGAAAATCGTAATTAGAAAGAACATATTGATGCAATGTGTATCAAGGTAAGTAAACAAATGCCTTAGTTTGTTGGCATTCAAATGTTATTTTACTGTTCGATCCTGTCGACTCGTCACGCTCATACAGATACTGTGTGGGGTGAACTATCAGCCATGTGTAATGACAATTTACAACGATTGGCAAAATCGAGCTGCTCGTATAACGCCGGAGACGAAACAGTTCAAATGAGGCTATGAAAATCTTAGGATGGTCAGACTTAAAAACAAAACAGGAAGGAATAAATTATGTTAGTCTTCAAGTGTCTGCATGATCTTGTCATTCTTGTGCCAAAATATCTTACTGAATATTTTATTAGAAATACTAGTAACATTCATCTATATAATACTACACACCAATCTCGCAGTATTGCCATTCGCATGCAGGCATACTCTGGCATACTCTGCTACGAGCTAGATTTGAATTTGAATTTGAAATTTAATGAACCCTCTCCAATCAGGGGTTTTTTAGTGATCATACATAAAATATATCTAAATATATGTACAAAGAACTAATTTATGAACTACTATAAGCTATAAAGGAATATCCTATGTATGCTATGCGTATCCAAAATATCATGATTCTAGAATTTGTCCTAAAAGTTTCTTCTTATAGATCTCTCTTAAAAGCTGGAATGTCATTACATAATTTAAAATTACTATCTAGTGAATTTCATATGGAAATTATTCTGTATGAAAAAGATTTCTGTCCAGTCGCAGTTCTAAAACGAGGAATGTTTAATTGCTGGGAGTTGCGGGTCACACGGCCAGAGATTTCCTGTCTGGTATTTAACTGTGTTGTCAAGTAGCCAGGTGCGCGGTCAGTCATACATTTGAATGCATAAATTGCATCCCTCAGGTATAGTTGTGTTTTGACGGGAAGCCACCTTAAGGTTTTCAATACAGGTGTTATATGATCAAACTTCCTGGTACCACTGATGATGTGGGCTGCAAAATATTGTACATGCTGTAACCGGGCTATATTTCCTACAGAGGTAGTTGACCAAACAGAGGAGCAGTAGAATAGCTTGCTAAAAACACGCATATGAATAATGGTGGTTAAAAGGGTGGAGTTGGAGGCATGTTTTACTTGGTTGATCTGACCCATTATACATATGATGTTATATGTGTATCAAAGATAAGATAGGGCCAAATTTTACGCCAAGATATTTAATTGTTTGACATGGTACAAGTTCTTTACCCAAAAAGGGGAGGCGGAAACCACACACTTTGGTGAGCATTTGGCGACTTCCAAACACCATCAGATTGACTACACACGTAAAAACGCACAAGTTGTAACAAACCTGTAGCAGACTTGTAGCAATGCTAATGCTGTTCCAGCAGCTTGTCAACATGATGTGTTCGCACAGCTTGTTCCCAGCTTCTTGAGAAGTTGGCTTGTTGACAACTTGCTACAAGGTTGTTGAGCTCAACAGATTTGTTACAAGTTGTTCCATGCAATAACTGGTTATCGTCCTGCAATTCAACAATTCGTCAGGAAGTTGTGAGTGACAACTTTGTAGCAACTTGATAAAATAACAGCATTGTTACAACTTGTTGACAAGCTTGCTACAAGCCTGTTGTGAACACATCTTGTTGACAAGTTGTGAGATTTTTACGTGTGTAGAAAGAGAAATGATATTCATCTCTCCAAACCTCAGTTAAGCCTTGGGAAACGTACTTTTAGATACTCTGGAACACTTTTGTTTAATTCTTTACCAGTTTCGGGTGAATGGGCTACCCTGCCAAAATAACTAGTCTTTACTACAACTATACTTAGACTCACTACAATTGTTTTGGAAGTAGTTGATAAACTGTTAAATGTTTATTATTGGATATTAACTTGTGTTAGGTATGATTATTGTATATATTGTAGAAGGTCTTATTTTGCATTTATTAATTGGTATTATTAATTGGCATTTCAGAAACCTGGTTAACTAATCTGACGTCTGAGCAATTTAATATGCCATACTTTGAGTTTATTTCATGTTGCCATGACACACGGCAAGGTAGAGGGATTGGTCTCTATTTAAATAAAAAATTACATGTTAGAGTAAGACATGACTTAGGTGTTAATGATGATAATATTTGCCAATCACAATTTGTTGAATTGACATTAACAAACAAAACAATAATTATAGGAATAATATATAGGCCAGCAAGTAGTAATTTGCATACATTTGTAGATTATTTGAATGAGGAGCTTGGCTCACTTGCCATTATATAGGCCAGCAAGTAGTAATTTGCATACATTTGTAGATTATTTGAATGAGGAGCTTGGCTCACTTGCCATTATATAGGCCAGCAAGTAGTAATTTGCATACATTTGTAGATTATTTGAATGAGGAGCTTGGCTCACTTGCCATTATATAGGCCAGCAAGTAGTAATTTGCATACATTTGTAGATTATTTGAATGAGGAGCTTGGCTCACTTGCCATTATATAGGCCAGCAAGTAGTAATTTGCATACATTTGTAGATTATTTGAATGAGGAGCTTGGCTCACTTGCCATTATATAGGCCAGCAAGTAGTAATTTGCATACATTTGTAGATTATTTGAATGAGGAGCTTGGCTCACTTGCCATTATATAGGCCAGCAAGTAGTAATTTGCATACATTTGTAGATTATTTGAATGAGGAGCTTGGCTCACTTGCCATTATATAGGCCAGCAAGTAGTAATTTGCATACATTTGTAGATTATTTGAATGAGGAGCTTGGCTCACTTGCCATTATATAGGCCAGCAAGTAGTAATTTGCATACATTTGTAGATTATTTGAATGAGGAGCTTGGCTCACTTGCCATTATATAGGCCAGCAAGTAGTAATTTGCATACATTTGTAGATTATTTGAATGAGGAGCTTGGCTCACTTGCCATCTTAAGTATGGCAAGTGAGCCAAGACACACTGCAGGACACACTCCAATGTCCCTGTCTTCAATATGCTGATGACACAACTTTTCTCATCCACTGTAAACCATCATCATCTACACCTGTGCGCAAATGAGGTGAATGATGCCATTTTCAGACTACATGAATATTCTGAGGGATGCAATCTTGCACTAAATTTATCAAAGACAAAATGGATGGTAATTTCCACGCAACAGATGTCACGTATACATAAACTGGATGAACGACTACCACCGATTATGTGTGATGACACCCCCAAGTTGCTTGGTGTGTATATGGACCAACATCTCGCGTGTGGTGATAAAGTTAACAACTTGTTGTCCAGTTGTTATTCGACAATGCTGGAGAGAGATAGAGAGACAGTGCTAGAGGGAGAGAGAGATATCTTCAAGCCAACGTGTAATGTTCTGTTTATTATATAGTTCCAAGCCAAAAATTGTATAAATCCTAAAAGTCACGTGATCGAGATATCTTCACTGATGAAGATATGGAAAGAGGGCCCTGAAGGGGTAAAATGGGAACTGGGATTGATCTATTTTTAGACTGGGAAAATGGGATTTGGGTTGCTGGGAGTGGGATTTGGCCACTGGGAATGGGAAATGAAGTCCTCAAAAATGGGAATGGGATTGAGGTAATGCAAGTCGATTCCCAATTTTTCTACGTTTTAAGTA